TTGCTAGGTATTTGCTCGGTATTGCTAGAAAAAACTCGGTACAACTCGGTACAACTCAGTATTTGCTCAAGATTTGCTTGGTATTGGTAGGGATTTGCTCGGTATTGCTAGGTATTTGCTCGGTATTGCTAGAAAAAACTAGGTACAACTCGGTATTTGCTCGGTATTGCTAGGTATTTGCTCGGTATTGCTAGAAAAAACTAGGTACAACTCGGTATTTGCTAGGTATTTGAAATATATCCAAAAGGTGATGGGATGTTGTTCGGCTCGTCAAGGATTTAAAAAAACGCACGTGCGAGAACCCAAAAAACAGCGGGTCGGGTCGGCGACTTTTCTTCATGCTATGTGGCGCTAAAATATTGGTTGCCGAACGTAGAGGAGCGTACGTTCACCGGACCGAATAAAAGTTCCAAGAAAAAGTAGAGCATAAGAAGAAAAGAAAAATAATAATTTGAAACTTTTCTTATAATATCATTTTTGTGTCCCCATTATAATAATAGCTCTATATGTATTTTCCTTTGATCCCATCCAGTTATATGGAAGAAGCAAAAATAAGAGGAAATGATAAAAGTACTGTATGGTTGTAAAAGTAATAAAATACAAGCTATTTGTGGTAGTATAGATGGAATATAATAAATAAGATAAGTTGTTCCTATCAGTCTTAACATGCTCCTGTTGCCCCATGGTTGGCAGAGCTCAAGTCCATCGAGTTTTGTTCATCAGTGTCGAAATCAGCAGAATGGTAAGTAAAGATGTCACCCACATCAAATGTTGCAAGAGTATTAAGATGTTTAAGTAAATGTGTTGTCTTTGTTTTTTTAAACTGGGAATTGACCCAATTTTATGAGGGCTAAGCTTTGAATAGGTGTCTGATAGAAATCATTCACGGCGAAGTCGAACCATAACTAATTCACAAGGATGGAACACTTTGTGGCGGCGATGTATTTCAACGTGCTCCTTATATCGTTCATTGGAAGCTTGAAGTTTGTTGCAAACATCTGATAACATAGTGAATTGGGTGACTAGATTAACGGCTGATGGATTTGCTTTTGCATTTGGGAAGGACATCCATGTCAACTATTTGATTAGGTTATTTGGTGCAAATAATGTTGAATGAGTAATTGCGTCCGGTTGATCTGTTAGGCATTGAGTTGTATAAGCAAACTCAGCTTGTCCTAATATTTTATCCCATTGTTAGCCATTCAGTTGTAAAGATGTTAGCTACATCAAATGTTGTAGGAGTATTAAGCTGTTTCAGTAAATCAACGATGTAGGCATTGTCGTTGATTTTTTTAAGGTGGGAATTGACCCAATTTTATGAGGGCTAAGCTTTGAATATGTGCTTGATGTAAATCGTTAAGGACGGAGTCGGACTATAACTAATTCACTAGGATGGAACACTTTGTGGCGAAGATGTTTATTAGCGTGCTCCTTATATTGTTCATTGGAAACTTTAAGTTTGTTGCAAACATTTGATAACATAGTGAATTGGGTGACTAGATTAATGGATGATCGATTTGCTTTTGCATTTGGGAAGGACAACCATGTCAACTATTTGATTAGGATATTTAGTGCAAATAATGTTGAATGGTAATTGCGTCCGGTTGACCTGTTAGGCATTGAGTTGTATAAGCAAACTTAGCTTGTCCTAATACTTTATCCCATTGTTTTCGGTGGTCTTGGACCAAACATCTAAGTATGTTACCAAGTGCCCTTTTGACCAGTTCTACTTGTCCATCGGATTGAGGATGATAAAGAGAGCTAAACTGTAAAGTAGTGTTCATTCACTTACACAATTCTTTCTAGAAGTGGCTTATGAAATTCACTTCACAATTAGAAGTTAAACTCCTTGGTACACCATGAAGAAGTACAACTTCTTTAAAAAATAAATGGACAATGGGAAAGTCATCGAAAGTCTTCTTACAAGCAATAAAATGCAACATTTTAGAGAATTTGTCTACAACCATCATAATAGAGTTGAAGCCTCGTTTGCTACATGATAGTCATAGAAGGAAGTCAAGACTTAGATCCTCTCAAATTGAGTTAAAATACGAAGAGCCCAATGTTTTTCACTCTACCCTTATATTTTTGACAAACAAAACAATGTTTAATGAAACGAAACACATCCCTGCATAAGTGGGGCCAAAAGAAAAATAATTGAAGATGTTCCATAGTTTGTATCATCCCACATGTGTTGCAAGTTCATTACAGTGAATTTCATTAATTAATTGATGCTGCCACTAAGACATCGATATGTAGAGCAAATCGTGTTTAAACATGTAGCCATGGTGAATGGAGAATGCATAATTGTGTTGCCCAGTGTTACACACAAGCCATATAGTTCAAAAATCATTTTTTATGGTGTACATGTCTTTCAGACAATCAAGAATAGTTATCTCTGTTTGTATATGGGTAAGGAGGGCAGAACACCTGTTGAGTGCGTAAGCTACTTTATTTTGAATTTCAGAGTTGTATTGAAGGATAAAGGTGAACTTTTGTAGATAGAAAAACCAGCAAGCATGCATTCTGCTAATATTTTTATGAGAATTGATATATTTGAGAGATTGGTGGTCAGAAAACCTTGATGCAAAAGATAAAGCTCCCAATGCTTGAACGCCTGGATGACGACAAAAGCTCTTGCTTGTAGATCGTCCATTTGGTGCTAGATTCATTCAACTTAATTTTCACTAAAAAAACTCAATTGGGTGGTGGTCCTGTGAAAGAACAACGCCTATACTTGTTGCAGATGCATCAGTGCCGACTTGAAATGACTTGTCTAAATTTAGGAGTGCATAGAAGAGCTGTAGTAAAAGCTTCCTTGATGGTCTCAAAACTTTGTTCCTAATCGATGCCCCAATCAAAAGTTTTGGATTTAGGACATTTTGTGATTGGAGCCATAATACTGCTAAACCCGCAAATGAATCTATGATAAAACTTTGCAAGCCCGTGAAAACTACGAATGTTAAAAAGAGATCGTGGTGTCATCCATTGGGCAATCACATAAATCTTCCTTGGATCAACTTGAACACCACTCCTAATGCTAATGAAGCCAAGAAAATCACTACAAGAAAATCATCCATTACCGGCGGCCTTGACCGGCGGCTTTCCGGCGGCCACTTTTCCGGCGGCTTTTCGGCTATAATAGTTCAAATATTAATATACACAAGATTGAGCAAATTCTCATTTAGGTTGGTTGGTGTATTACTTGTTCTATTATAATAGTTCAAATATTGATTGTAAATGTTGAATGTGCTCAGCCAAATTGTAACTATAATTTAGAATTTTTTTTATAATATCATATATGTGTCCCATTAAAATAATAGCTCTATATGTATTTCCCTATGGTCCCATGCAGTTATACAGAAGAAGCAAAAATAAAAGGTAATGGTAAAAGTATTGTATGGTTGTAAAAAGTAATAAAATGCAAGCTATTAGTGGTAGTCTAATCGAAATATAATAAGTAACATAAGTTGTTTCTATGGATCATAATAGAAATTAATCCATTGGGCTCTCATATTTTAAATTTTATTGATCAAAATTGTATTTACCTAATTTAAAGGATAAATCACTAAAAAAAAGCTAAAATTTCATCCAAAAATATTAAATCAGAGCACCAAAATATTCTTAAAATACATCAATAGGGGTGTCAATATTTGACACGACACGAAAATCCGACCCGTTTGAAAAATGGGTCGGGTTCGGGTTGACCCGGTGGGTTGCCGGGTCAACCCGAAAACCCGTTTATTTTTAAAAAATTTGAATTTCCTGCTGCCCCCGCCTGCGCTGCTCGCTGCCCGGTGCCCCGCGCT